AGGTGATATTATATTGATCAATAAACTACAAGTCTATGAGCCAGGTGATATTTTAATGTATCAATACTACAAGTTTGTGCTACAGGTACACATTGCCACCGTGATTATGGGAACTTTTTTGGGGTCATGTGCATTTTTATTTACGTAGCGTGCACGTGCTCGGTATCGATCTCAAGTTGCCTAGTGCACCCTCTCAACTGTCTTCTTTATTGAGAAGAAGTACTCCCATAACATGAGAGGCCGCTGATCGGCCATTTTTCAATCGGATATGATTTTGCCGACTGCGACCTCTCATTTCCGAAGCACTAATTCTTTGATGCAGTTTCCGCCCGAAATCCGGGCGGAACAAAATCGGCTTGAAAAACTCACATACGTGGTTAACAGTTCATGACAACGATGTCTACTCACGGTTTATATAATATTGATCTCATATATATGTCACAGACACAAATATATAGTATATTACGGAATAGAACACTCAAAATACATGTCCATGTCGTTGTAGCACATCTCTGACCTACATTTAAAACATGGCTTCTGGATTAATACAAAATATCAGGGGGAATTTCAAACGGAACGAAAAGATACGGAGTTTGTTTGTATTCCGCTTGTAAAACATTACATGTAATCCATTTTTGTATTAACCGGAAAAATCATGGCAAATGCTGTCTGCTTCGCTTCGAATGAGGAAAAACTTATTAGTTTCTTTGACATGAAATTTTTCTCATATAATCATGGATTTATGGAAAGGAATATTTATTGGACCCTTTTGACCATTTAAATGTATGTAAACACGATATACTCTTTCTTAATCCGAACTTTGAAAATGTGATAGTCAGCATCGGGAAAATCAGCTATGGGCAGTTAGAGGTTACGCGGCGCCTGTCAAAAGTTTTTCGCCATGTAAAACCTCTAACATTGTTGGAGTATGAGAAGAAGTTGATTGAAGATTTTAAGACATTTGACCCCTGTCACCTTGAAAGCGGATCAAGGTCATTCATTTGAACAAACTTGTTAGTCCTTCATCCCAGCATGCTACAGGCCCTATATCAGTACCCTGGACCTTTTGGTTATTGAGAAGAAGTTGTTTGAAGATTTTGAGACATTTGACCCCTGTGACCTTGAAAGTTGGTCAAGGTCATTCATTTGAACAAACTTGATAGCCCTTTATCCCAGCATGCTACAGACCCAATGTCAGTACCCTGGGCCTTTTGGTTAGTGAGAAGTCGTTTGAAGATTTAAAGACATTTGACCCCAGTGACATTGAAAGTGGGTCAAGGTCATTCATTTGAACAAACTTGTTAGTCCTTCATCCCAGCATGATACAGCCCCTACATAAATACCCTGGGCCTTTTGGTTATTGAGCAGAAGTTGTTTGAAGATTTTGAGACATTTGACCCATGTGACCTTGAAAATTGGTCAATGTCTTTCATTCTAACAAACTTGGTAGCCCTTCACCCCAGCATGCTACAGGCCCTATATCAGTACCCTGGACCTTTTGGTTATTGAGAAGAAGTTGTTTGAAGATTTTAAGACATTTGACCCCTGTGACCTTGAAAGTTGGTCAAGATCATTCATTTGAACAAACTTGATAGCCCTTTATCCCAGCATGCTACAGGCCCAATGTCAGTACCCTGGGCCTTTTGGTTAGTGAGAAGTCGTTTGAAGATTTAAAGACATCTTACCCCAGTGACCTTGAAAGTGGGTCAAGGTCATTCATTTGAACAAACTTGGTAGCCCTTAATCACAGCATGTTACAATCTCAATATCAGTACCCTTGGCCTTTTGGTTAGTGAGCAGAAATTGTTTGAAGATTTAAGGCATTTGACCCCTGTCACCTTCAAAGTGGGTCAAGGTCATTCATTTGAACAAACTTGGTAGCCCTTCATCCAACATGCTACAGACCCAATAGCAGTACCCTAGGCCTTTTGGTTATTGAGAAGAAGTTGTTTGAAGATTTTACGACATTTGACCCCTGTCACCTTGAAAGTGGGTCAAGGTCATTTATTTGAACAAACTTGGTAGCCCTTCATCCCAGCATGCTACAGGCCCAATATCAGTACCCTGGGCCTTTTGGTTATTGAGCAGATGTTGTTTGAAGATTTTAAGACATTTGACCCATGTGACCTTGAAAATTGGTCAATGTCTTTCATTCTAACAAACTTGGTCGCCCTTCATCTCAGCATGCTACAGGCCCTATATCAGTACCCTGGACCTTTTGGTTATTGAGAAGAAGTTGTTTGAAGATTTTAAGACATTTGACCCTGTAGCCTTGAAAGTGGGTCAAGGTCATTCATTCTAACAAACTTGGTAGCCCTTCATCCCAGCATGCTACAGGCCCAATATCAGTACCCTGGGCCTTTTGGTTATTGAGAAGAAGTTGTTTGAAGATTTTAAGACATTTGACCCTGTCGCCTTGAAAGTGGGTCAAGGTCATTCATTCTAACAAACTTGGTAGCCCTTCATCCAAGCATGCTACAGGCCAAATATCAGTACCTTGGGCCTTTTGGTTAGTGAGAAGTCGTTTGAAGATTTTAAGACATCTGACCCCAGTGACCTTGAAAGTGGGTCAAGGTCATTCATTTGAACAAACTTCGTAGCCCTTGATCCTAGCATGCTACTGGCCAAATATCATCATCCTAGGCCTTTTGGTTACCGAAAAGAAGTTGTTTAAAGTAAAAAGTTGACGCCGGACAGACTGACACCGTTGCAGATTTTGGGTTTTGCGTTGTCCTTTACTTGGGGACACAAAAGCAACCAAAACAATCTGCTGCACCCATTGCAATATTTGGCATTTTTGTATTTCTCTACATCCGACTACCTTTTGTTTCCTAGCGACTTGCTTGGCAATACCTTACTGTTGTCCTTGATGTTGAATCTTCACCCAGACGCAGAAGGTCATGGTCGTGGTTATTCCCTGCTTGAGGTTCAGCATTAAGGGTAATGGCAACAACTGGTTTACACGTTGTCAGTATAGTGTGAGTTTAAGGCTGAATCCCGTGTTTGGTGTAATCAGGACATTTTTGAGGAAACACTATAAAATCGGCAACAGGTTCACGTCAGTGCAAGAAGGCAAATACACAAATATGCTATGTTTCCAGGACACATGCATGCATACACAACACACAGGGAGGCAACACATGATCGTTAAAATTGTAAAACAAACACAAACATCTCTTTAAATATTTAATGTTTGTTTTTATTTACATTGTATAAATGTGTATCACAATAAATATGCATTACTTCATCTGAAAATATATACAGAGGCATTATGAATGTTACCTTCACAACGTGAATACTATCAAAATATTGTAAACAGGGTTGAATGTTATTTCAGTCAGTTCGTGAGATCACAAATTAAGCCAAGTCTTGGAATAACAGTAAATAATGAGCTGCAGTTTTCTCAATAACTCAATTTATCATGGCATGAATTTAAAGCAAAGCAGATTCAAGCATTATTTTTCCATTTTTCCATATTCAGAATACTGTAAAGAACAAAACACTACTAAATGGAAGGTCTTTAATAGTCGAAACAGAAATTATGATTGTGATAGTAATGTTATGTTGATGACAGCATCAATTCCATTGTTAACCTACAAAGCTAAGCAATATATAAGCAATAAGCAAATGAGTCCAACTAGAAGTTTAACTGGAAAGATATTTCGCCTATTTACAAAATCCCTGCATCATGTTATCACCCTGCCAAGTCTTTCTAGGAAACAAGCCATTCGGATTGATATGTTCCGCCTGTGCATCGGCGAAATAAATTTAATGTAGACGACATTTGAAATGATAATAAGTTTGGTTGGTGTAGCACTTCGTTTCAGAGAAAATACCTTAAACGCAAAACCTAAATGTTGATGGAGATGCTGACGAAGGCGATGGACCATGAAAGTTAGGCCGCATAGCATGGCTTGAGATGTACTACCTATGAGATGCTGACGAAGGCGCTGGACCATGAAAGTTAGGCCGCATAGCATGGCTTGAGATGTACTACCTATAAGATGCATGTTCCAAGTTTAGTTGGTCTACCACTTATACTTTCAGTGAAACTGAGTTAAATGCAAAAACTTGTTGTTGATGCCAACACCGTTGCAAGAAAAGCAACACCTTAGTATCGCTTCCACAACTTTATCAGGACAAGACAAAAATGATAAAATCTGAGTTCATATTCATAAAATTCATTTTTATTCGGACAGATTAGAAATTTACATAGTTTATTTATTTTCTTCCTCATCAACTTGGCCTTTTCATTAAAATGGTTTTATAACTATGGGAATTGGTTGAACCAATATTTTGCAATTACATGTAATGCCAAGTATCTGTAAACTATATACAGTGGGATAGAGTGTTTTCTCACTCTTCCACCTAATCACAACGCTCTATATTCCCGTAAACATAAAAACAGAGAATGTGGCAAAGCTACCATCAATGCGTTTGTACAATAACTCTTTTATCATAATCACTAACACCATTTCATGTTAACCCTGCCCCACCCCCACTCCCCACCCCCATGTACCTTTATGTTAAAAATTAGTATACTAGCACATTAATACTGGACCAATGACAAACCTTCTAAAATCTTGCCCCAAAAATCTCACTGTTAGTTTAGGTCACTAAAAAGGCAGCACTAAAACTTTAAGTACAACGTATTTTCCAATTACATTTTCACAGCCGTTAAAAAAATACTCAACTTTAAAGTTCAAAATCAGGAGTCTCCCTTCAAAATAGGAAGAGTAGGCAAGTTTGTCAATTAATTTTCAAATGAACTATCATGTTAAATTTCAACATGTTAGCAGATACATTTATAATAAATGGCAAGTCTTCACATATCTTACCTCTAAAACCTGTTCTACAATAAAGCTGGGGTCAAACTAAAGCTACGTTCTTTGAACAGGGGAGATAATTAGCACTGACATTTCATTGCTAGTGGGGTCCACCAATAGATTGGGAAGTACCAGTAGATATTCCCAAGGTCTTGGTCAAGAGTTTTGTGACTGATTAGAAGTGACGATAGGGGATGGTTGGGAGACGAGTTCTTTTCATATATCTACATGTACCTAGATAACAGTGTTGATTCAAATTTCTCGATGTGTCGAACTTACTTAGGCAAAATCCTGAATTTCCCCTTACATAACACTAATAATATTCTATTCATGTATCAAACTTTTATGAGACAAATTTCTCACTGTTTCGAAGTACATGTATAATCAAGGTTCCTTTGATATGAAAACATTGAAAATTACAACTTGTAAATCAAAGTGAAAAACATTACCTGTACATTAAATTGAAATGTAACCATAGGCCGATGGCAAAGAGAATGGAATGCATCACTTTTTTCTGTGTACATGTTGCTGATAATATAGTTGTGGATTTCCAAAAAAGATAAAATGAAAATTGCCATATAATTTGTTTTTCACCTCTCAAAATATAGCAATGCAAATATCATTGAGCAGAATTCTTGAAAAGAATAGTAGACATACAACAGGCAAAATCAAACAAATAAATGATCCATGAAAGCAACTAAAATGTAAGGCACCCTAGATCTCCAAATCAAAATATTACAGACATTACTTTCTAGAAGTTCATGTTAATTTAATATTATATCTGTATAGTATAAAAGCAGCAGATTGTGATCTACTCTGTTCATATTACTGTTCATTTTTTTCAATTGCATGCTATATATACAAGTATCATGATTTTTCATGACCTATAACCTATGGATACTAATGAAAACTTCATTGATAAATATTAAAATATCTTGAGCATACAATATATTTATATATATGCCTCAAGACACAAAACTCTGAAACTTAAAAAAAAAAGAGTTATCGTCTATAAATAAAGCACTCTTGTTATTATTACATTAGAAAGCTGGGTAAAGATGAGGTTGGGAACTGATGTTATGGTGAAGAAACTACCAGCCAATCAGATTGTAGAAATCCACCATAAACAACTTTGAACTTTGACAGAATAAACAGCGGAACAACCTACTGAACTTGAGGAAAGTTAAGATTATACATAATGGAGTAAAAAATGATGTTAGAAATAATACATTTGTACATCAATATTTTGCATAATTAGATAAACACAAGATATTAAATTAGTAAAAATGTCCATTGGTATGTAATTTCAATACAATAAAACATCACTATTTTGCAAAATTAAACACAAGATTTCCACATTGTACTCTTACAACTTTCATGTTTTAAACATACGATGACAAAACTGATATGAGATGTTATGAGATGTTCATTCTTTTGCGTCCTCGTAACATTTGATGCCATATGAAGACGATGTCCACTTTGAAGTGTAATCTCACTGAAATGTCGTAACTTGGACACATTATTATGACACCCTGACCCGTCATTAATCTGACGACGGGCTAAACAGGGAAGTGCACAGGCAGTATGGCACTTATTTCCCCATATCTCATTGAAAATGTGTAAAACAATTTAATGTACTAAAACTATTATTTCCTTCTGTTGAGGAGTTGTTATGATATCTCAGGCAGTCTTGGTTTCAAACTCTCTGATCTACACTACATTTATATTGCAATTTCTTGTGCCCATATCTTAAGTTAAGTCTTTAGTAATGACCGACACACAAAACCCCCAGATGTATTCAATATTGAACATGATTGACAAATGCAATGATATAACAGCTTATTCAATGGTGTATCATTATAAAAAGAAATGTTTAGCTTTACAAACAACAGACAAGTCACATGTACCTGAACAAAAACCAACTCAAAAAGAGGGTTACATGGGTACTAGCAGATGCAAAACCGACAGTTATTTCTAATGACATGATCTCCACAGTATACCGTTGGAATATGTCTACTCCAACAATGTTAGAGGTTTTACACGGCGAAAAACTTTTGACAGGCGTCAAAGACATAATTAATGAGTTTTTCCTCATTCGAAGTGAAGCAGACAGCATTTGCCATGATTTTTCCGGTTAATACAAAAATGGATTACATGTAATGTTTCACAAACGGAATACAAACAAACTCCGTATCATTTCGTTCCGTTTGAAATCCCCCTTGCTATTTTGTATTAATCCAGAAGCCATGTTTTAAATGTAGGTCAGAGATGTGAGACAACGACATGGACATGTATTTTGAGTGTTCTAGTCCGTACTATACTATATATTTGTGTCTGTGGCATACATATGAGATCTATATTATATAAACCGTGAGAAGACATCGTTGTCATGAACTGTTAACCACTTAAGTGAGTTTTTCAAGCCGATTTTGTTCCGCCCGGATTTCGGGCGGAAACTGCATCAAAGAATTAGTGCTTCGGAAATGAGAGGTCGCAGTCGGCAAAATCATATCCGATTGGAAAAAGGCTGACCAGCGCCCTCTCATGTTATGGGAGTAGAATATGTCATGATAAAAATTGAAGGTGTGTGGTAGTTGATTGGTTTCAGGTATAAAAATCTGACCAAACACTTGGTTGACACCTGTCCTTTGTGGATCACAGAGGAGCGACACCAAACTTTATAGCTCGTCAATTTTACAAAACAATGACAAATCTGACCTGTAACAAAGACATCAGATTAAGCTATTTGCGTCATCTGGAAAGTGTCTCATAAAGTGTTCCGTTAGCCATGACAAATTCTGTGGGTGCAGAGAAGGTAGGTATATATCGTACTGGCGTTAAGCGGAACCCTTGGATTTTGACGATGATACATGCATGGACACGCCAATGAGCTACAGGGGAGTGACGAAATGAAAACTGTACAACAGAATGAATTTTGTGAAATACAAAAAAATGAAAAAAAAAATAAAAAAATAATTAATAATCATGAAGTCCTTTGTCTAAATAATGGGTAACAGTAACAGGGGGGAGGGTGGGGGGGTATGAAGAAATATGTGAAATACAAAAAATTAACTTTATTTATTAAATCATTTTTTTTCAAATTGACATTAAGGTCTCAGTCTAAAGAATGATAACTGCTGTTGAATATCGCATGAAACCGAAATTATCTACATCAAAACTGGGCACAACTGGGACCATCATGAACAAAATCCACAATGGACTGAACAAGTTAAAGTTGTTCCATAAAACAACACATAAACAAATTATCAAAACAATCAAATCAAACTATCAGGTTTATGATAAGCAAACACTTACATCTAACAGGCGGTTGTTTGGCTTTTCGTGCGAGCACAATGCCTATAGTATAGCAGCCCAAAGGGCCAATCCAAAAATTATAAAGCCTGAATGTAGAAGTGTTTAGAGATATTAGCACAGAGTCACTGTTTTCTCAAGCTAATTACTTAATTTCCTGTTTTCTTTTCTGACTGTCACCATTCTTTCAAACGATATTAAAAGAAAGTTTAAATGTTCTAAAAGAGGATTACGGAATGTGTATAGGTTCAGTCATGACTTTGCAAAATCAGCTAGGAATGTTAGATTCATCTGGGAATATGACAGTGTATATAAATTATCTATCTTTTTATATCCATCTCAGGATAACACCAACAGATTAAGATTCTTTTTCACTAACTTTGATGTATTATACACAATATATGATTTTAATTAATTTTGTCCAGGACAGAGCCTGCAAAATGTCTCAAAGATAAAAGTCTGAACCTCAAGAATTAAAATTTCTCCATTGTACACCATAAATGGTCTGTCAGTGTAAAAAATATGCTTTTCTTTTATCAAATTTTATGAAATTCATTTCCCAAGTGTAAAAATTAGGTATAAAAACTGTTTGTAATGCTTCTTAAATTTTCTCTTGGCTTCACTTTTGAATAAATGCCAGAATATTTATCCATTTTTATTTCTCTTTAAACTTAAGTTTAAACAATTTTTTGTTCAGTATTAACAGCAATAATCATTCAATAATACATAGTGAAATAGGGATTGGACAGCAAGCTGACAGTTTATATAAGTCATCTCCCTCCAATTCAAGTTTACCTGGTGCCCTTGTGCAGTTTAAAGGAGATAGCTGTTAATTAGTTTGCTCTCAAACTAAATATTCCTTTAACGAAACCCGGTGAACATCCGCAGTTTACTGCTCTTAGCATGTCCATTACAAACTCCATTTTGTTGCTTCCGCGGAGAATCTGGTAAGGGATTTTCTGACACAACAGTTTCAAGTTTTGTTTCTGGATCAATTTCTTTTTCTCCTGCGTAGAAACCAAGGCTAGTATCCTCATTTTCCACCAAAGGTGATTGTTTACCTTTATCAGATAAAGTTTGTAACTCGATCGCATCATCATTTGTTGATATCACTGTTTTTACTTCCGTTTCCTCATCTTCCACGTTATTTTGAATATTGCTTGATGAGCCGGGTAATGAAGATTTCGGCCCATCCATAGATAAATCCGGCTTGGTATGGTCAGGCCTGTCCTCTATCACAGCCTCTGTTTCTACAACGTTGATTTGTTCCCTAACAGGTGAACAATTTAACAAAGGCTGCGTTACTTCCCCATTCTCGGTAGCCTCATCCTCAGAACCGTCTACATTTTTATTCATCGTTGCAATTTTGCATACTTGCACTAAGTCTGCTTTTGCAACACTGATATTATAATTATGATTGATTATTTTTCCTGGTTTTGCTGTATCTGAAAATAAAATATCAAATAATGATTAGGAAAATCTTAACTGAAATAAAATATCAGATTTCCATTTACCCTGTGACAACGATACAAAACAAAAATGTCCTACGTGGTTGGGTGGCAAAGTAATTAGCACACTGGCCTTTCACCAAGATGTCCAAGGTTTGAGTCCCCTATAGGACATGAAAAGTTATTGGGTCACCTGCATGATTAGGTGGGTTATCTATGGGTACTTGGGTTTCTATCCACATTAAGAGCCTTAATTTGCATGCTCCATCCAGCACAAACTAGAGTGATTAATATACATTTGTATGTTGAAATAACTTGTTTCATAATTGTTGTAAAAAGAATAAAATTTATTTATAATACATCAACTTAATATATGTTAAACTGTCATTAATGCTACCTTTTATGGTGTCTTCTCTGTAATGAGTGAAATACATTATCATTAATTTCTCTACAATTTGAAAATATTTTTTTAATATTTTTTTTTTATATAACTAAAGCAATGTGAAATGCAGAAATGGAAACATCTATTTGCACTTTTACCACTTTTTTAAATAAAGATTAATTATCACCATTCAACAGAACTAATTAAAGCATGTCTAAAAGTATATTTTTACCACTTAAAATTATTTTCTGCAATCTCAGACAGTAAAATATCTAACGCAAGAATACAGATCTTCAGTACTATTTTATAGCACTAAAATAATGCTAGACGTGTTTGTTGCTAATGAAAGATTTTGTGTGACTTAGGAAACCATGAATTATCAATACGATGTTCTGTACTAGCTTACCAAATTTGGTTATTTTAGGTGAAATAGTAAAGAATATATTTCCCAGACAAACTTTTTCAAAGGATCAGTTCAAGGGTCAAAGCATACACAGGTCACAGTGACCTAATATTTATACTCCACACTCATTTATCCTGGAGATATATATGCTCCGGATAAACTCTTCCAATGGAGGCCGGCAAACCAATAGCTCCCTGTCCCCCCCCCCCCCCCCCCCCCCCCCCATCTTATCGTTTGCTGATTTTTATCTTCAAATCATTCATGAGTATTGCCAAATATTACATTTCTTGCCTTCAAAAGTAAGCCTGAGGTTACATCTTGAAACACACCTGACAACACAACCAGTATATGTAGACTAATTTACAAATATGACTAAACCCTAGAAAACCCTAGAAATAGAATGACTTTGTCCAAATCTGGCCCAATGGGTTAGTCTTTTCTCTTACCCTGGACAGGTGTATCCACACTTTTACTGGTGTGAGATTTCCTTGTCTCACCCTAGGGTTTAGACGGGGGGATTCCCCTATTCATAACAATGGCATGACGTCAATTCAACAATACAATGACGTCACGTCAACAATCCGCCAACGTCACGTCAACCCTGAATTTACCATGTAACGTTATCGTTACATTGTGTATATGATACACAATGGGAGAACAGGGTAAGAGAAAAAGAATCATTCCCCCCCTTGTGGGTGAGATAGGGGAATCTCCACCCTCGGGAAAATCTCCACCCTCGGGAAAAGATTCTTAAGTTGCCAAACACTCGGCAAAGCCTGGTGTTTGGCAACTTAAGAATGAGTTTCTGGTCTGTCTATTCTCCTATCTTACCCCCAAGGGGGTGAAAGATTCTAATAATAATCTACCTGAGGGGAGAATAATAAAATCTTACATGGGTATGGTCCGTGGACAGGGAAATCTCAACCCGAGGGTAAGAGTTTGGCTGTCTAGCATGAATCTCATCTTTTCACGGGTCAATTCCTGTATATCATCGGCAAGTATGGGAGAAAGCTTAAGCAACACTACCATGGTGACCTGTCCATGTCCTACAGACAGCTAGGCCCAGCTTCTTTAGAAGCTCAAGTTCTCAAAGCATGGTTAGCTTTACTATTCAATTCATGTGTAAGGAGTGTCATACTTTTACCGCAAATATATAAACAAATTATTTGCTTTATACCATAATGCTAAAATTTTTGCATATTTGTAATGTATAAACTTACATTTTTTTCCCCTCATATATTTCAGCTATCAGTTATACTTCAGCTGGGAGCATCTATACATGAACGGCAGGGGGTGGGGGGGTGGGGTACTATTTACTATTTTTGGAATCTGCACTTTAAATGCCTCAAAGCTTCTATTTCATGCAGGATTACCACTGTCTACCAGGAAAATATCATACGCCACTTATGGGGAGGGAACCCCAGGTCTAGGGGTGGCATACAATAGATTTATATTTCATATTTTCATTGATGGTAAACCTCCGCAGTCAATTCAAACAAAATAAATAAATATTGTCAATCCTGTTCGAATTACACAAAATTACAAGTTCAATCTTACACAACATACACAAACCTGGTTCAGATGTTTTCATTTTTGCCCCTTTGCGTTTCATCCTTCTGAAGCAGTAGATTCCAAGTATAATAACAATAATTAGTAATACTGGAAGTGCAATACCGAGGATGATAGCTACAGGGCTGAAATATATAAACCACAAATACAAATTTAACTTTGGTTAATGTAATTTATGAATGTCATACTAATGTTATTTTATTTATCACACAATCATGTTGTCACGGATGGTGAATGTTATACATGATGGTGGCCATGGGTGTGTGTCGATCTACTGGTTGGCATGAGGGGTATGACAGTATCAACTCTTATATTGTGAAAAGAGTCATGTAGTACAACCAATATAAGTGTTTCTATGTGACGTTTCAATGACTAGTACGGTAAGTACTCTGTCGTCACTTTTATCAGACAAATGACCAGTAGGCATATGTACACAAAGGTGTAAAATGTGTATGAGCTGTCCACACAAATGAATGTCGCTGTAAGCAGTATGCTTGTTCTTGTAAGGAGATGTAGCATAGCTACACAGTCACCCATACTCTAGTCCGAATTATTCTGACGTTTTATCGACTTTTTTCATATCGGTCTGTCTTCGATTAACGTCAGAACTCCGGCCCTCTATAATATGCGGGAAATATGCGCCCCGCGCCCGGAGTGCACTTCAAACTGATATCTTTCAAAGATCATTACTAAAAGTATTTTCCAACGTTTTCTATACCAACCCATGTTTTTAATGGAAATTAGGCCATGAGCAATGTCACATGACTTGACGAGATCTCGCGTTACCGAAGGTATTTCCCAACGTTATGACGTAGGCCGGCGAGATTTAAGTCACGTGGCATTAGAAGGCGGGGCTATCAAAAAACTAAATTAAAACAGAGTAAGTTTGAAAAAAATAAGTTTTTAGTGATTGTATTGGTTGTTTGAGGCATGTTATGTATGTTCATCTTGTGCATAAAGAATAGATCTTTCGATCCATGTGCGGCATGTGTGTGAAAGTGACGATTTGTTTCTAAGATATCAGTTTGAAGTGCGCTCCGGGCGCGGGGCGCATATTTCCCGCATATTATAGAGGGCCGGAGTTCTCTGACGTTTTATCAACTTTTTTCATATCGGTCTGTCTTCGATTAACGTCAGAATAATTCGGACTACCCATACTCATGCAACCACCTCCTTTAAGAGACCATCTGTTTTGGGGACAACTTCTGATATTTCACTTTGTAACTATTTTATTGTGAATAAAACCTGAATTTAGAGACCAACTACATTAAGAGACTATTTTTTTGGACTTTCCATGGTCAGTTTCTTCATAAAGGTTGGAGAGTATATGAATAAGTAGAATAGTGGTTTTCAAAGGGTGTCTCAGTTATATTGTCCTGACAGCATAGAGGGGCATGTCTGTATACTAAATTGTTATTGTCAGGTGGGATGTTTATAGGATGTTGTAAGGCCAAAAATAATATATGTATGTTTCAGGTGACTGAAAAGACATTCTTATTTATCTTTTTAGATGAAGGGGGCTTATTTAAGAAATTAAAAAATCACTAAACATAGTTATTCAGACCAAATGTATTCATTTTTCAATATAGATTTTAGATCTTTTAAATAATACTATAGGGATTTAAATTTGGTTTGATACCTGCCTATGAAATAGAGAGGTGTCATAGAGAGGGTTAAGATTTTCGGCACAAGAGCGAGATGAAATTGTTAGGGTCGGAGGTAAAAACTAGGATAGGTCAGCGTACCTGAAACACATTACCTGAAACACATATTTTTTTCGGGGGACCTTAGAGAGGTTGTATACTTACGTCTGGCTGTCAGAAGCCTTGGTGGTGCCAGGTGGAAATGGTGTGACACTACCAGGGGTCGGAGTATTATCTTCAGTTGAGGCACTAGTTTCGGTAGTGACATTGATTCTAGGCTTAGGAGTTGTAACATTTCTCTGTGTCACTGCTATCTCCTTTGAAGTTGAAGGCGTAGGTTTCGGTGGACTGAAATAACAGTTTTCTATTACATATTTACGTCTTTAAGCAATAAATATATTTTCTTAAAACTGTTAAGCAGTGAGCTATGTCAAGAATGTCTTAAATATTTGATAAAACATGTTGTTAACACTCCAGACTCAAAGAATCAGAATTCAGGTTTTGTTAGTTTTATAAATCATTGACAGTCCAAGGGAGATTACTCTTTAAATTAAAATAAATTTCAAATATTGATATCATAAATATTGAATGAATATAAACATCTTTTCAAATTACTACATATTCTAACAGATATACCAATTAACATATGTAGGCTAGAATGGTGGTGGGATTCAATTCAAATTTCATAATTGATCATTCGTTAGACAAAAATCTTAAATCTGTGTGATCGATATGATATACTGTATGATTCAGTTTAATAACATTCTGAACATAGTTTCTTTATAAATTGAGCACTTTTTTTCTACGATAACATATAAGGATCTGTTTTGCAATATATCATGATGCCTTCCAGGCGTATTGTGAAAACCATAGTAAGTTCATCGTTTTTTTATCAATTACCTCATGAAAAAAAATTGCTGAATTTTGCTGAACATTTTACTGAATTTTTGCCGAACACTTTGCTGAACGAATGCTGAACACCCACATAGGGCAATTGCTGAAATATACCTGAATTTGGGCAAAATCCAGGCATTTTTCAGCAAAATTCAGCAAAATTCAGCAAATGTATTTCAGCAAATGTATTTCAGCAAAGTTCAGCAATGTTTCAGCAAAGTTCAGGAACTATACCAGCAAATTACAGGAATGTTTCAGCAAATTTCAGGGATGTTTCAGCAAATTTCAGGAACAATTCAGAAATGTTTCAGCAAAGCCATCTGCTATACATGTATAAGCAAACCTTAGCAAATCTTAAGAAGGCAAGAATTACACAAACCCTGATGATCACTATATACAGTAGTTACATACATGGTCAGTGAATGAAGTATATATCTATATTTGTGTGATCATGTCTTGTACTAATTCCCTTAGGAACTCTATCTAAATCAGAGATTTATAACGATAGATCGTTATAAATCTCTGATTTAGATAGAGTTCCTACAGGAATTAGTCTTGTACATGTAGTTAGAAAGTGACAGTATTATTGTTCCATTATTGTACATAAATTTCGTATTGAATACTTTGAGATTGTTATATTTTATGAGATTGTGTCATCCTACACGTATGCTGTTTTAAATCATAATGTGAGATGTTGAAGTGTGTAATTACCTAGATTCATATGCTGAAAGCTTACATAGTCCGATATGAACACCGAAATCTGTACTCTTATTGTTACGGGAATTCGGGTGTAAATTATTTCATATTGTTGTATTTCATCAAATTGTAACATGATACAAGTATTCCATTCAAATAAGATCGTAGTATTATGTTGTGAGTCTATAAATTAACGATATAAGTGATTAAATGCGTGAAGACTGCATAGGCCTATATAATCTTTATTTTTACGGGAAACACACGTTTATACTCAAAACAATTGTTCAGCGTGTTGAGATAACATCATACCTGCCATGTGTATTCCATTTAATCATACTGTCTAAACTTTTATAGTCCGGGGATCCATTAGAGTCGAAAGTTTGTCTCTGACATAGCGGTTCGTCTTCTACGGCAGCCGTATTTGTTTATCTTTTCGGTAATACTCGGGAGTCATCCATATATTATTTACTCGGATATCTCGGACTTTATCCACTTAGTATATTAAACGCGGGAGATATGATTGGCTAGCACTTTCTATAAATTTTGACCATCAACTTACTTCTAACTACACTTGTTTCAGTTAATTAGTGATCATTAAAATGATTTTTTTTTTACAGAACAGCTCAGCATCTTTTCAGCATTATCCTGAACAGTTCAGCATTTTTCAGCATTCTCCTGAACAGTTCAGCATTTTTCAGCATTATCCTGAACAGTTCAGCAGTTTTCAGCTGTTCAGGTTAATGCTGAAAAATGCTGAACTGTTCAGCAGTTTTCAGCAGTTTTCAGTTAAGTTCAGCAAAATTCAGCATCTGTAGAAACTGTGTAAGCAATGGTTCAGCATCCGATTTTAGTTTCAGCAAATTTTCAGCAACAGTTCAGCAAATCCTCAGCAAAATTCAGCAATTTTTTTTCATGAGGGAATTGAATTCATCATGAGCATGACACTCCACCCAGTCACTGAAATATTATAACATTGACGCATTAGCATGAGACTCCACCCGGTCACTGAAATGTCATAACCTGGACACGTTAGCATGTCACTCCACCCGGTCACTGAAATGTCATAACCTGGACATGTTAGCATGACACTCCAACTGGTCACTGCAATGTCATAACCTGGACATGTTAGCATGACACTCCACCCGGTCACTGAAATGTCATAACCTGGACATGTTAGCATGTCACTCCAACCTGTCACTGAAATGTTATAAAATTGTCGCAATGACACTCCACCCGGTCACCGAAATGTCATAACCTGGACACAGTAGTATGACACTCCTCCTGGTCACTGCAATGTCATAACCTGGACATGTTAGCATGACACTCCAACCGGTCACTGAAATGTCATAACCTGGACATGTTAGCATGTCACTCCAACCGGTCACTGAAATGTTATAAAATTGTCGCAATGACACTCCACCCGGTCACCGAAATGTCATAACCTGGACACAGTAGTATGACACTCCTCCTGGTCACTGCAATGTCATAACCTGGACATGTTAGCATGACACTTCAACCAGTCACTGCAATGTAATAACCTGGACATGTTAGCATGACACTCCAACTGGTCACTGCAATATCATAACCTGGACATGTTAGCATGACACTCCACCCGGCCACTGAAATGTCATAACCTGGACACGTTAGCATGTCACTCCACCCGGTCACTGAAATGTCATAACCTGGACATGTTAGCATGACACTCCAACTGGTCACTGAAATGTCATCACCTGGACATGTTAGCATGACAATCTACCGGTCACTGAAATGTCATAACCTGGACATGTTAGCATGACAATCTACCGGTCACTGAAATTTCATAAGCATGACACTCTATTGGTCACTGAAATATCATAACCTGGTTATGTTAGCATGACAATATACCGGTCACCGAAATGTAATAACCAGGACATGTTAGCGTGACAATCTACCGGTCACCGAAATGTCATAAGCATGATACTCCACCCGGTCAGTGAAATGTCATAACTTGGGCAAGATAGCATGTCACTCCATCTAGTCACTGTTTGACGAAGACGGGCTAAGCAGAGGTGTCTACAGAGTAACTTCTTAAAAATAAGAGTAGGTTGGAGAGAACAGAAAAGATTGAGATCCTAAATATTGCCAGTGGGCAGCAAATGAATTTTATCCCCTTAGCAGAAGACACAATCAATGCACAATCTATAGTTGAATAATTGAATAATGTCTTTGCTAGAAAAGGCCAGTAATCGAACACTTTCTCTAACATCCATATCAAACATGGTCATTATATCATTTAGATGTGGACACAAACTGATGATTTAACTACAACAGGATTGCAGTTCTGATAATTGACGACACAATACACTGTTGTTAATCCTCTGAATATGTGATGCCTGGCTGGCCCGGACAGAAGGTGTGATACATAGACCGCGCTACCAGTTTGACAAAGAATGATAAATCAGAGTTTGAGAACACAGGGTATTCAAGGAACAACACTTGGAGTAATCTTAGGTTACTTTACAACATAGATATTTGGAACCAAGCAAAGAATTTGATAAATGGGGGTCTTCAAGTAATGTTTGAGGAAGTATAGGGTTCCACTGTATATACAAATGTCATATGGTGTACCTGGGTGTGACCGGACTACATCCACAATCCTGCTGCAGAACGGTGCGGTATGGGCAAGTCATGCTCCGACAATTACATGGATCTGTTCCACAGTAATTAAAGCTGAGGTCACACTGACACCACTGAGGACATGCAAACTGATCAAAAGTCGTAGACTTCACCAGAGATGGCCTTGTTTTATCTGTAGATGTGTAATTAAAAAAGTGACTTTTTTTACTCATTTTCTGTTTCTGAATGACTGTAGATTTGGTAAACAACAAAAAAGTATTTTTCCATTATATAGAATTTCACCTGTGAAATATTATACAAAATTTTATTAACATTTCAGAAACTACAAAAATTAATCTTCCAAATAAAATCTACTGTAACGTTCGTAGAGTAATTCCTATTCATAAACCAAAAACATTGGTAGCGAGTATGTGTTTGATGTCAGTAGATTTTGTTATATGACAGTTACCTGGTATATCCAAACTTAATCATAAATATTATATTTATCATATCTGCTTATCATAAGCTGTATACAACAAGAGGTCCACAGGGCCTGTACTGCTCACATGGATATTTAAGCAGTCATAGAAAAATATTCTCAATAAATATTATACTGTACTACAAATATTTCCAAATATTGGCCCGGTCTCTCAGCTATTCCCTTACCTTATTGGGTCCCATCCCTCAGTATCAATTTTGGGTGGGGGGCATGGTTTATATATTGAATCATACTGGGCCAAGGATACTCTATATCAAATTTTATTTACATAATATAGGATAAAAAATAGGCCTAGAGGGCCTGTATCGCTCACCTAAAAATGTTTAAAATAATTGGTATGAAGTAGGTGCTGTTAGTACATATGAAATTTCAGAAAGATCCATACAGTACTGGAGATATAGTGAGAACAAACTACAAACAGAGCCCCAACCCTAGGGGGGTCATACCCACCAATTATACAAAATTGAGTCCCCTTGACCCAAGGATGCTCCAGACTAAATAAGGATAAAATCCCTTAATCTGAATGATCAAAGAATGTTTTTTTAAAGGTTTTACCTCTATTTCTATTGGGCCCCACCCTTCTGCCCCCTGGGAGACCATACCCACTGCTTATACAAAATTGAGTCCCCTTGGCCCAAGGATGCTCCAGACTAAATTAGGATAAAATCCCTTAATCTTTATGGTAGAAGAAGGATTTTAAAGGTTTTACCTCTATTTCCCCTATTGTGCCCTGCCTCTATGCCTCCAGAGGGGTCAGACACCCCTTTTATACAAAATTGAGTCCCTTTTGCCTAAGGATGCTCCAGACTAAATTAGGATAATATCCCTTAATCCTTATGGTAGAAGAAGGATTATAAAAGTTTTACCTTTATTTCCCCTATTGGGCCCCGCCCTTCAAGTCCCAGGGGGCCACATGTACACCAAACGTTTATACAAAATTGGTTCTCCTTTACCCAAGGATGCTCCACACCAAATATGGACCAAATCCTTTCATTCCTACAGATGAAGAATTTTAAAGAATAATTTGCTATGTTTCCCCTATTGGGCCCCGCCCCTCAGCCCCCAGGGGGGCCAGAGCTACGGTTTATACAAATTGGTTCCCTTCACCCGAGAATGATTCAGACCAAATATGGAACAAATCCTTTCATTTCTACAGAAGAAGAAGGATTTTAAAGAATTTGCTATATTTCCCCTATTGGGCCCCGCCCCTCAGCCCCCAGGGGGGCCAGACCCACCATGCATACAACATTTGTTCCCTTTCCACCAAGGATGCTTTTAATCAAATTTGGTCAAAATCTTCTCAGTCGTTCATGACTAGTAGCGTTTTAAAGGAAAAGTTGACGGACTGACGGACCGACGGACGCTGCGATATGGCATAAGCTCACCATGGTCCTTCGGACCAGGTGAGCTAAAAATCCTTACATATGACTCTTGTTTATTCAAAACAACCTATTACAAGATTTTGACACATTTTACCAAAGTGACTTTGAAAGTCTAACAAAGTCATTCAGTTGAAAAAACTTGGAATTCCATAATCCCAAATATCACTACCCTGTGCCTTTTATATTAGTTACTGAGAAGAGTCATTTAAATATGCTAATACATTTGATCCCTATGACCTTGTAAATAGGTCAAGGTAATTTTTATTTGCAAACTTGTCTGCCTCCATCCTAAGAAGCTACCAGCCAAATATTATGATTCTATGCCTTTTGGTTTTTCAGAACAAGTCGTTTGAAGTGATTGACATATTTGAAACCAGTCACCTATAAAGTAAGTTGAGGTCTTTTTCATTCATAAAGTGTTTTAGGCTCCATCCGAGGAAGCTACCAGTCAAACATTGAGATTCTAAACCTTAAAGTTTTTTAACACATTTGAGCCTTGTGAGCTTGAAATTAGGTCAAGGTCATTTTAGTTTTCAAACTTTGTTGGGCTCTTCATGACTCTAAGCCAGTCTATTCTTAATCAGAAGTCATTTAAAGGAAAAGTTGAACTTAAAAACTTTGATGATGGTAGGCCTAAAACTTCCATGAATCAAATAGTCAATAAATTGTATATATCAGATAATATCAGAGAGTATTGAATTCAAGCATCATAAAAAGAACTAAAAAACCCAACACATACATTTCATACAACTTGGTTCTGTGCATCTTATCGCAGTTTCTGATGTTGTTGGATCCAAAAGGAAACTTCCTTCCGGACAAGGAGCACATGTGTCATTGCCATAGTTGACTTCACACATTGAAACTGTAAAATCTAAAATAAAAAAGATCAAATAATCAGTGAAAGAAGTTGAATGTGTTGTGTTTCTATAGAATGGAATAATCCCTATTCAACTATGAGGAAGCAACTAAACGCATAATTTTGCTGTTGTATTGTTGCTTGTTCATTATATAAAGTAGTTCTGTTTTAAATATGTGAGTTCTGCCAAGTTTCAAAATTGAATAAGGGACTTAGGGTGATAAAGCTTAAAGTATACCAGGTATACTGGTTATAACATGGCAGTATCCAAAATAGAACACTTTTCATAATTACGATGTAGCAATTTTTACTTTGTAAAACAAATGAAGTGTATTTATTCTAAAGAAGAGGCCCAGGGGGTCTGTATCGCTCACCTGAATATTTAAGCAGTCATTGCAAAATATTCTCATTAGATATTATACTGTACTACAAATATTTCACTCGCAAAATTTGTCGGCTCCATTCGTTGAAGCTACCAGCCAAATATTATTATATGATTCTGTGCTTTTTGGTTCTTCTTCAGAAGTTGTTTGAAGTGTTTGACATATTTGTCCCCGAGACCTTGTAAGTAGGTCAACATTTTCCTTGTCAAACTTTATTGGTTTTATCCCAAGAAGCTACCAGTCAAATATTATGAATCCCTGCCTTTCGGTTCTTCAGAACCAGTTGTTTGAAATGTTGACCTCTGTGCCCTTTAAAGTAGGTTGAGGTCATTTTCATTTGCAAACTTTGGTTAGCTCTATCCCAAGAAGCTACCAGCCGAATATTATGATTCTATGCCATTTGATTATTCATCAGAAGTCGTTTGAAGTTTTTGACATATTTGACCCCTGTGACCTTGAAAGTAGGACAAGGTCAAACTTTGTTGGGATCCACCCAAAGAAGCTACCCGCCAAATATTAAGATTCTATACCTTTCAGCTACTCAGAAGTTGAAGTGTTTGTCATATTTGACCCCTGTGACCTTGAATGAAGGTCAAGGTAATTTTCACTCCAGGTTATTTTCATTCACAAAATTTGTCAGGCTCCATCTCAGGAAGCCACCAGCCAAATATTAAGATTCTATACCTTTCAGTTCTTCTTCAGAAGTTGTTTGAAGTGTTAGACACATTTGACCCCTGTGACCCCTTTGACTTTGAATGAAGGTCAAGGCCATTTTCATTCTCAAACATGTCGGGCTCCACCCCAAGAAGCTTCCAGCAAATATTAAGAATCTATACATTTCAGGTCTTTAGAAGAAGTTGTTTGAAGTGTGTAACACATTTGACCACAGTAACCTTATAAGTAGATCCAGGTTATTTTCATTTGCAAACTTTATCAGGCGCCATCCCAGGCAGCTACCAGCATAATATTGTAATTATATTCTTTAAGATTATTCAGCAGAAGTCGTTTGAAGTGTTTAACATATTTGACCACAGTGACTTGATAAGAAGATCCAGGTCATTTTCCTTCTCAGATTTTGTCGGGCTCCATCCCAACAACCTATCAGCCAAACATCATAACTCTATACTTCGGGAGAAGTCGGTTGAAGTGTTTGACATATTTGACCCCTGTGACCTTGAAAGTAGATCCAGGTTATTTTCATTTGCAAAATTTGTCGGGCCCCATCTCAAGAAGCTACCAGCCAAATAGGAAGATTCTATACTTTTCTATTCCTCAGAAGAAGTCGCTTGAAGTGTTTGGCATATTTGACCCCTGTGACTTTGAAAGTAGATTAAGGTTATTTTCATTTTCAAACTATATGTTGGGCTCCATCCTAAGAAGCTTTTGGCCCCATATCATGACTCGAGGACTATCTTCAGAAGTTGTTTAAAGGAAAAATTGACGGACGACGAAAGACGGACGATGAACTGATGGTAGAGACACTGCGCCATGACATAAGTTCACTAGCCCTTCGGGCAGGTGAGCTAAAAAACTGACATCCAATGATGCCAGTCAGTAAACAGAGCCGAACTTGTTTGAAGATCTGGATACTTACTTATTCCACAGGAAACTATACCACAACAGATGCCATTCTCATGCATAATATAATCAGGGCGGGGGCATCCCTTCAATTTGACTGTGAAACAACAGGGCATCACCTACACAAAGGAATGACGAAAATATATACAGTTTGTCTATATATTTTACAACATAAATCCACTGATGTTTTTTTTTTAAAATTTTACGGGGAAATCAATTATAAACAGATTTTTGGAAAATCCTTAATCAAGCTGATAATTCAAGCAGAACCGATAATGGTATGTTTATCTACTTACAACACCTGAAAACTAAAACTAAAAATTATATTTGAGAAAGATTTGTCTTGTGCCTCTTGGAAAAACTGGTACTGATAAAATCCAACATGGCTACCTGGTGACCATTTCATATGTTCTGATCATTCTCAAAATGAAACATGCACAATTTCGGACCTATCGAAATAATATAGAAGATATGTCCCGGACAAACTTCTCGGAAGGAAGGACGGACAGATGGACGGAGTGCAAACCTAAAGTCCCCCTGGAACTGGTGGGGGACTAATAAGAACAGTTAACCATGGTAATTGATGTACTTCAGTAGTCCACTTAGTTTAATCAATAATATGTTACGTCACATTAAATTTGTTAAACATTATCAATTTGCAGTCTAGTTGCTGTTCTTAATTCATAATCAGGATTCTGCATTTGTTAAAAAAATCTTAACTTAAAAAAAGATTGGTAATGAGCAGGTGGTGATTAAAATATCTGTTAAGTTTACATCATAAAGACATGTAGTGTATGAATACTGTTAAATCGGAGATTTTCGCATGTCAAAATGTTTTGCTTCGGTAGATAATGTATGAAGTGAAATGGCAAATAAATGAAATAATAACACTAACTTTTGAGATTACCCTATTGTGTTGTGAGATTAAGGTATGTCGTTTTACTTACTGCTATGCAATGATTAATATAAGGACTTACCATTAGCAGTGTGAACAGGCTTATGGCAACTGTGGAAAATGTTGACATCTCTGGAATATATTACAAAATTAAAACTGAAAGGATCGCTGTGCTAAAATACTGTTCAAATACAAAGTATACCAAACATATGGTCATAATGAATCAAATTGATGCAATGTTCTATCCAGTATGCCAGAAAAATTAAAACAGAAAGGCTATTATAGTTCCTGTAACTTGGCAAATATAATGGATATTTTTTCTTGTATAATACCAACAAGGAAAAGATGTTTAAACAAGACAAAATATTACAAAGCTAATCAAAGTCTCCAACTTCCAAAGAACTCGCAATTTTTTTTTTTTTTACAAAGGGCCTTAACTCTGTATATACAGGAACTTCAACCTGATTCAGTGTGTGACACTGCAACATTTACTACTTGCATACAAAATTTGGTAATCCTTTTTGACAAGGTGAGTTATGTCACTTTGATGAAAAATGCCTAAACTCAGTTATAAAAAGGTATGGGGTCAAATGCCAGACCACTTGGGTTTTCCCCCACATTAAGATCCCCTTTGTGCAACCATTCGGGCTGACAAGAGTATTAAATGTATGTTGGTAGAAATTGTTCTATAATTGTTAATAAATAAAGTTTAACTGTTATTAGCGGGGCTAAAGCCCCATTTCAGCATGTAACACTGCCAATCCTAGAGGAACTATATAGCTACAATACAAAAGGACTAAAGGCAATAAGGGTTAAGTGTATATGGCCTCATCAGAGATTTAGAATTAATTGTTATATTCGTAATCTGGAAAAAATGAAGTACGCAAATATGAACTTCAAATTCATTTTATAACCGGTATAGGAGATACGTACTGCATAACATTCAAAATAAAATGTGTAAATATAATCTATTGTGTGCTATATACATCTCCAAAGTAAACCTGCACAACTAGTCTACAGATCAAGGGCAATCTACGTATCAAATTTGAGAAAGATCCTTACAGTACTTTCTGAGAGATAGAGATAACAAACCACAACTAAATTGTATCAAAGTCCAAGATGGCCACCTGTCGGCCATTTTGTTCATCCCATCAGTCTCAAAAGTAAAGTTGCACAACTAGAGATTAGGGGGAATTTGATAAAGATCCCTTACACATTTTCTGAAAAATAGTGAAAACAAACTTTAACTGTCAAAATCCAAGGGGAACTTACATAATTATGAAAGATCCTTCCAGTTCTTCCTCAGAAATAGTGATAATAAATCTCAACTGTCAAAATCAAAGATGGCCGTGTCAGCCATTACGTTTATTTGATCAGTCTCAAAATTACATATGCACCAAGGGGAACTAACATAATATATAAGAGAAAGATCCCTTCATTACTTTCTGAGAAATAGGGATAACAAGAATTATTTAAGGAAGGTCGGTTGAAGAATAAAAGAGGACAGACGATTTGATCCAAAATGCCCCAAGTCCTTTCGCAACGTTAGGAAACTTAGAATGTGAGACATATGCCTCAGACATACAATGTAGTGATCCAAAGTCGTACAGATGAAAGGACCCTCGTGTATTACCAAACCAGGATAAACACATGCCAAGCTTCTTTATCATAATTATCATCACATATGACTCACAGGCAATTCATGCCAGGTGAGCTAATAAGGTCTACATCTTACCTGTCTTTTTATTGATAATTCTACGATTCTGCTGCCTTGTAGAAGCTTTTTGCTGCCTTTGAATCTGATGTTGAGTTGGAGTGAGAATGTATTTATATTCTCTATGCTGTTGACCCTGATGGTTTAGACATGGAGTTGCCTGCCCTTGTAGTTTATTTCCCTGCATAGGTGGATATGGTTGTTTTACTGGTGAGGTTTGTATCTCAGTTTCTTGACATGGAGTTGTTACATCCTGATGTTTAAAACAGAAAAATGTACTTATTACAAATATATATTATCATCAGCAAATTATAAACACATATTGTCGCATGTACTGTATACTATTAAGGTAGTCACAAGAATTTAATTATACCAGTACAGTTCTCTTAATTGAATAAGAAGAAAAAAATATAAACTTATTATAAATTCATAACTAGAGTCCAAATAGTGGTTTCTGAACACCTATGTGTTTACTCATTCTCAAACATGTTCAATTAACAATGAAACTGCTACACTTTACAATGAGGCATTATAACTTGTCAACCTCCCTATTTAGGAGTGAGACTCTCAATTTTGGACACTTCAATTTAGTGTTTTCAACCAGTGAATTGCTTAACTGTTCCTATATATTCTAAGATGTGATGATTTCATCTGAAAGAACAACTCAGAACATGTCATTTTAAAGGGTTATTTTGTCTCTAGGGGTGTATACACACATTTTATTTATGTTTTTATTTTGAGCATGCAAAATCTCCCCCATGGAAATTTAAGAATGTTGTCAATTAAGATGAGGAACTAAAGATAGTCTTTGTACAGATGGTCACTTAATAGAGATGTTCATTGTTCAATACACCAGATCTAGACTTGAATGTTTTTACCAATAAGGTTAAGTTTTGGACAGAGGCTCTCACAAACTCACTCTGATAATTCGAACTTGCGCTTATTTTGGCGGCTACAATTTAATATAATTCGAACAGGTTAAACAATATTTATTTAATTTTGTTCGAACTGACCGGAGGTTTACCGTACCACAAATGCCAGACATACAGACTTGTAGGTCACAGATTAATTTCAATAACAAGAAGCCTGCAGGGATTTTTATAGCTCACCTGGTCTTTAAATTAAAATATGAAAGTTTGGTTCAGGTACCTGTACCCTGTAGGGGCTATATAGATGAACAAGGGAAAATATATATTTATAGAAAGATCAAGGGTCATGAAAAAGTCTAACCTCAGATGCCGTATCGACAGAACACTGGAAAAGACAAACACCAATACTGTGACCTTTTACTCATGTAATGACCTTGGAATTTAAGCCAAATTTTGTAACCCCCTGTCTGTAAAACAAGGACCAGTCCAAAAGGTTTGCTAGGATTCTGGGAGCAACCATGGTAGCATAAGTTGATTTACCCCTTAATGCCAAGCAACTTTATATTATATGGTAAAGGGGTTGGAATCTCAAATGTTTCCATGTTATAACCCAAAGAGTTAGTCCTCAAGGTTGAGGTCAAACTTTGAGACCAATCCTGGTAGCAAGAATGACCTCTTCTTTTCAGTCCTAGCAAAACTATATGTAGTTATAAGGTTGTGATCTTGGCTATATATCTTAAGATATGAACCAGGGACTAAGTCCTGGATTGAGGCAGGAACCTAGAGTCCCTCCTTGTAGCATGGCTGCATTCCCCTCTTCATATGCTCAGGAAGAATATGTGTATGTTGCTTAATTGTTATAACGAGTGTCTAGAGATAAGATTTTCTTAATAAATCCCCTATTCGGGCCACCACTCTGCCTCCTGGGAGAAGGGTAGGGGTTATCGCCTCTTTATTATAGAATTTTAAGTCCCCATGGCCAAAGGATGCTCCAAACAAAATTTTGGCTAAATCACCTCGCCAGTATAAAAGGATTTTTTTTAAGATCAACTTAATTTCCGTCCTTAGATCTGAACAGTTTCTTTTGTTAACAGGGCAGCTACACTCTGTTTTGCTCAATCAATCAATCAATTCTTGGCCGAGACCTTATACACTAATTAGTAAATCGCTATGCTATATGAGACAACAACAATGTGTATCAACTTTCAGAAAGCTCTGTTTAAAATTTATAATCTTAACACTTTATTCAGGACATAATGCACATAAATACTTAGGAAGCATTGCTACACTATGATAAGAGTACAGAAAGGGGTATATAACTCTTCTAAAATGGTTGATATTTTTCTATATCTGTATTCAATACATACATTGTTCATTCCCCAGGTATCGTCATACAGCACCCAGGGATTTAGTATTCTCCCACAGTGGACACAGCAAATACAGTCACGGTAACACTTTGTGACCCAGTGAGCATGCTCCACCCAGGGATCATCTCCTGGCTTCCAGTTGCGCAGTCCTCCCCCACAGAAGTAACAGCGAGATATATCACCATTACCTGCAAATACAATGAATCTCTATAAACAGGACAATAACAAATTATAAATGTTCTCTAATACTTTTTTCACAAAAAAAATCAAGAAGTGTCTACTGTTTAGCAAAATCTGTCTTCAAAGAGCGGTTAGATCATTCAGTCACATTGAGAATATGTCTGTAAAATTACTGTTAGAGATCATAAAAAAATGTTCTTTCTACCATAAATTCATCTTGGACTATATAAGATCTAGATATCCTTAAAATCAGGTGTAAGTAAGTACCGGGTGCATTCATTTTACTGAATAAACGGTGACCTTGACCTTCACTTATGTCAGTTACATTATTATATGAAATACACATGCACCTTCATCCTTTGAAAACAAATACACTTCACAATTGCATACCCACTTATGTTAGAATATAATCTATGTAATGTAAACAAGCAAATTAAAAGTTCTATTACAGGGGTGTAAAACACTTGCCTGACGCCCAGTGTAACAGCCACTTCTTCCCCCCCACCGGCTGAAAGTTTCCCCGGGGAAAAACCCAGCTAGCTGATTCTTTCCCCCACAAGATAGTTTTTTCCCAGGGGGAAAGAATCAGCTAGCCTATAGTTTCCCCCCTAGTTACTATTACAGAGCGGGGAAAGAATCAACTCGTCAATAGTTTCCCCCCTAGTTACTATTACGGAGCGGGGAAAGAATCAGCTAGCCAATAGTTTCCCCCCTAGTTACTATTACAGAGCGGGGAAATAATCAACTAGCCAATAGTTTCCCCCCTAGTTGCTAACACAGAGAGGGGGAAAGAATCAGATAGCCACTTTTAGACGGGGAAGGAAATGACTTCTACACTGGAACAACTAGTTAAGCACTCGGGCAAGTGTAAAAGCTTGGCCCACTTGCATGTGTTTCTCCATTCCCCCATATAAATAATTAACTTAACTGTCTGTATTTTAGTGGAAAACTTTGGTATGGAGGAAAAAATTGCCGGTAGAATACTAGCGGTCTATCCATCAATTTAGACAATTTCCAAGACTTTTAGGCTGATGAAAACAACTGAATGTCTGGCTAAAACATAAAATAGGAATTGATAAAGGATGTACTAGTTAAGAACAGAAGAACATCAATTTGGTCTGAAAAACGTCTCTGTTTTCAAACAGGAAGTGTTGTGTTGGCGTGACTAGCTAATAACTGGACAAATCTGGACACAGATTTCAGGAATTAAAGAATATTTAATTTTTATTTATTCAAAAGTAATTAATTGCCTTTTTTTTCTGTACATGTTTTACATGGGGCAAGCAGAAAATATTTTCGGGCAAGTGGATTTCTAAGGTCTACTTGCCCGGGACAAATGCTTTGAATTTTGTTTACACCCCTGGGTTTCCATAGGCCACTGTCAAAGGTGTGTTAACTTGGCCTAATGATAAGTTGCCTTTGATGTTTGCTTTCAGGTTTGAAAATACCTCATTTTGCTTTAAAAATTTAGAAATCACCGGTATGACTATGAAGCCTTTAGATCTAGACTTATAGTGATCACTGATTATATATCATTTCATCATTACCTGTGTAGAAAAATCTTTCGGACGACAATTTCTGTGGGGTACGGTTAGCTGTCAAGCCATCTTGAAAAGTATCCTCTCTGTTAAAGTTGACATGAAATAAAAGGTAACAGTGTATGTTGTTACTCTGAGGTTCAGCTATGTCAGGTACACATTCCCTGAAGTCTTGTCCGGCAGAATATAATGGTTGATTTTGTGGATAAAGAATGATATCCCCTTCCCTTCCTTGTGTATTATTATTTGTCTTTGGACATTGGCCTCTCCCTTCTCCTTCCTGATATTGTCCCTGTGTAATGGGGTCTACTCCCTTTCGGGGATCCGGATATGGCATAACTGGAGGAGCTCCGTTAGAATCATCCCGTCAGTCTGCTACAGGATGTTCTTTCTGTCACAAAGCATACATTATAACTGTATATATATACAAATCAAGTAAAGAAACAGGTGGTTATCTTTTAGAGAAAGTTCTCCTAATTTGTAAATGCTTTTAATTAAATCCTCATTTTTGTTCAACTCAAATTCAAGCCAGTTGTTCTTAAAATGAATTATGTATGTTTTTTGCCTTTAATTCTTACAATATATGTGCCGTCATTATTTCTCATTTTCATCTGTGTGCCACAGATTTTATTTCAATTTTCAGGACAAAAATTGAAAAAAAATATGATAATAGGTAATATTTTGGAGATATTAATCTATGTATATATATACTAAAAGTGCACTTACTTTTGTAATCAGTAGCTAGAAAATTTTATACATTTTCAGATCAATTATGAACAGAACACATTACTTGGACTAAATAGGATTATTAGATATCTGCCAGAGGGTTAGTACTGTCAAAGTTGTGTTGTGTAAATTTTCACATAGGCAATGCTTCTGAAACTTATATAAATATATATCTGTATAATTTAATATGTTATACATACATATTCACTTGTCTGGTTGTCAATATTTTTGCACCAATTTACTCAACGCGAATAATGTGAACAATTTTTACAATTTAATGATTTGCATATCAGTACTCTAAATATGAAGTTCACCAACTAATATTGTGTAACAAAAAGTATCAGAGATGTAAATGTCTGCAAAAAGCATATGATTTCTGGTGATGCCAGATAAAGGTTAGTCTTATGTGGCTCTATATATTTTTATTATGAAGTGTTGCATACAAATGTTTCTCAGTGTAAGTCAATATAATGAAAGATGATAGTTAATTTCATTTTTGCGTCTGAAATATTAATTAATTGGATTCTATCAGTTTGATATTCTGATGTATTTTTTTCTTGATGGAAAGAGTTTATTGGACATATGACCCAGGACATTGGGTCACATTGCCTACAACCACAATTTCCTGAGTGGTTTTGACATGTGAATATTACTTTGGCTTAAAGGGGCATCACGTTGTTAAGTAACTTTTTTGTGTGTCTTTTTTAATAACAATCGGATTTGGCTGAAATAGATTCATAAAAATGATTAAATCTAAGATAATCATCGGTATTTCTACCTGTCTGACCAACGTTTTGTTCAGGGATTTCCCCCTACCAGCACATATAGCACACTATTTCTTTGTAAACAAAATGACTGGCCGTGTGTAGTAAGCGAAAGAAAAGTGTTGTACCGTGTCAGCTACGAAGCGCAAAGTTGCCAAATGGTCAAAAGATAGCGCAAGGAGTACGTTACGGAATCATTATTGCAGGTGGTATTAGTATTCAAAGCAGAAAATAACTGTCCTAGCAGTTAGTACGGTGCATGTATTCTTCCGTAAAGCCGGTTAAGCTGAAATGGAATCGACAGAAATGCTAGCGCTGTTTATGTTATGAATATTGAATAAATATTTAAAACTATTAACCTCGCTTGTATCTTTGTCTGATTTTGAACACAGATGAACTTAGTTCAATATGTTAATGGGAATGTATTCGCAGAGAGTTTACTTTGTGTTTCTATAATTATACAGTGGTTTAATTATGCGAAAGGAAGGGATATGTGACTGGTTAGTTTGATTTGCCATGGGGCCCTCCAAGGGATAACTGTTGTGATGGCCACGGCGTATTCTGTTCTCTCCTTTGTCAGTACTCAGGGTCAATATGAGATACGTGCGCTATTAGATTTCCGTAATTTATAATATTACCGGGTTCAGTAAAATGGTATGATTTAATTATATTGCTGAATTAAACATTTTTTTTGTTTTTACATGCAAGATTTAAATTAGTTCTAATATGAATACCCGGCCTCCTCTGGCGCGACGACGCAATAAAAAAATCTTTCATATAATGTATGATCAGGTAACAACCTTTTCTCTATAAAGAATTAATTTTTGACTTCAGATAGAATAGGAATACGTATTGAAAACAGGGGAAAAACATTTGTGTACGATGTAAAAATGATGCGTGCTGCCGATAACTACGGCTTTCTGTTTCGGACAAAAATGAAATGATTAAAGAAAAGTTGGCTCAACATAAAAAAGGGTCCATTTACAAAAATGCTTTTAATCTATGTAAAGTATTGAAAAAATAATTATCAAGTATCTCAACACGTTCAATATCTGACACATATTCTTCATGTACACGTAGTGGTTTTGCCATACAGTTTATTGTGTGTGATGGCTAATATGACTTACTAAGTGTTAGCGTATGATGACAGTGAAAGTGGGAAAGAGAGTGTGCATAAATTTATATGCATGGTCTAGAAAAAAAAATTGGCCAAAGACATTGAGTTGTACAATGCATATGTAATAAAACAAATCACAAACGTTTCTCTTTTTTTATACGCATGTAATTGTCATTGCATATATACACTTTATGAAAACATTTGAAAAGGGATATTCGTCTCGTGAATATTCCTTTTTACAGAAAGGTTTGTCCCATGGTTGAGGGAAGGTGTCTAGCCACGTACCATCTGTACCGGTCAAATTTCGGTACTAAATTCAATATATATTTAAATATATCTACTTTATGTTTATGCCTATTATCATTGTTGACATTTAATTGTAAATGTATGACGGGAGAAGGCTGTGACAAATTGTAAAAACGTGTGCCCCATACCTTGTTGAATTTTATTGGTAACAAATATATTTAAAGCTAAATAAATTTAAATTCTGAATATTGGCAAGTGTGCAATTAACTTCTGATGATGAATAATTACTGTTCAATAAGTTTTAATACGGACTTAGAAATCACATGACTTGGTTTCATAGTGCGGTAAGAAGTTGCAGTTGCCTGACGGCCCCTTTGGAAACCGTTTCATCTCGCTCAGACCACTTGTATTTACTGCCTGGTCAGGTGACGTTATCGGCGCTATTTTTAGCAGGGCTTTCCCCAACAATTCAAATGGTTAAACTGGACATTTGAAAGGGACTATGAATATGGGGATAGCGAGGTAACATAAGTGGAAGTACTAGTGCATACAATACATACATTCATTAAAAAAACCTAGAATTATGTCAGTCTGACATTTAAGCCGCTCACCACTTTAAATTGAATTGCTTCAGTAAGACGTTGAGCATCAATATCTTCTATAATACCTCAGATATGTGTTCTGTATTCTGCTAATTGAAAATCAGGTCATGTGATGATGATGCCTTTGGGATTTCCAAAATCAATCACCTCTTAAATGATGCCTTAAAAACATTTCTCCCTCTCCTCTTTTTTCACCCTCTTTCAGTGTGACGCATTGTTGTAATTTTCATTAACTAGCATCCTCCAATGATGTGACATGAGCATTTATGTGCAGAATGCCAATCGGTGAATGGATAATAAAGAATAGGTGCATTTTGTGATTGTGAAATGAAGAATTAACAGAATGGGGGAAAAATACATGGAGAAAAGAGACATTGTACTCCTTTTATTTTTATTTATTATTTATTCATATGAATAATAATTATTAATATATGTAGTGACTTTATTTACTGTCATTGAATATACAAAATCTCAAAAATGTTCTTGGAATATATTTGAATTATATTTCTCAATGCGACTTTATATTAATTACTAACGTAAGAGTTATTTCCCTTACACCGGATTGGATAATATTTTGACACAGCGCGAATTCTTGTCAAACAGCAGCGGCAGTTGTGTCATGTTCTTAAATTGTTACACTTTCATAAATAAATACACCAGAAATAGCATGCTGTGTTACAGAAATGTTTGATAAGCATACACAGTTTACATATCGTCTCGTCTCAGAGCCATTAAGCATTACCGTTAACAACCTAAGCACGATATGTCATATTACGTTCCCGTTTGAAACATCAAAATAGAGGTTATACTTCATCACTAATACGGTTTATAAATACATATATTTACTTCTTCCTTCTACAGACAGCGTCGATGCTTGACAGTCTTCACATGTGCTTTCTCGAATCATATGTGTTTCACACGCGTAACACTCCTCAGACCTCAATCCGAGTTGCTAAAACGCTCAAACGTAGTGCACGAATTTCACCACCACAACACTCGTAGAATGCACCGGAGATAAACATTTTGTTTTCAGCAATTATTAAAAGTATAGATTATTACTTGGAGAAGAGTATCAGAAGACTTTAAGTAACCCACAGGTGAGTGTCAGAGATTCTACTTTCTATTTACGATAACGAAACTATATAGCGGAAGCATGCAAGACTGAATTATGCGCACGCATCCGTAACGGAAGTGGGTCCGTCATTTCGTTCTCTGGACAGAATTAATAAGCCGCTCGGCTCTCGCCAAGAGCGGCTTAAAAATTTAACTCTTCATGCGATGTCCCTTTAAAGTGCACCCTTAACGTTTTGCTATATCAAGCTATGAAATTCCTTTATATTATACAATTAAAGACTAAGAAAGTGCAAACGTCGTAGTTGACTCCGTTTCTGAAATATTGTGATATATCTGAAAAACACACCTTTGGCTCAGCGGCGATCGCCTCGATATGGGTAGCCCACATCAGTGACGCCACATGTACAAGTTCAATGCTGTCAACATGTCAGATTTTTAAAGATTTACCTAGTTTCCCCATATTTGGCCCCGCCCCTCTGCCCCCAGGGGGCCATACCCTCTAGATCTGTTTATACAAAACTAAGAACCCTTTGGCAAATGATGCTCCAGACCAAATTTGGTCAAAATCCCTTCATCGGTACAAAAGGAGAAGGATCTTTAATGTTTTCCTCTATTTCCCCAATTTATACAAAATTGATTCTTTTGTCCCTATTAAGTATGCTTCAGACTGAATTTGGTTTAAATCCCTTCGCTTGTATAGTAGAAGATTTTTTGTTCTCTATTTCCCCTATTGGGCCCCGTCCCTCTGCCCCCAGAGGGGCCACACCCTTCATTTATACAAACTTGAGGCTCCTTTTTCCAAAGATGCTCTAAAACAAATTTGGTCAAAATCCTTCCATTTGTTGAGAAGAAGATTTTTAAAAATTTACCTTTTTTCCCCCCTATTTGGCCCCGCCCCTCTGCCCCCAGGGGGAACATACCCTCAGTTTATACAAAACTTTGAACTCTTTGGCCGATGATGCTCCAGACCAAATTTGGTCAAAATCCTCTGAGCCGATAAGGACTAGTAGCGTTTTAAAGGAAAAAGCGACAACAGACGCTGCGCCATGACACAAGCTCACTTATTGTGAGCTAATAATATTCATTCCTTTTTTCGTTCAGGGTACACTTTAAGAGGATAAACACATGTAGCAGGAACATTTGTAGTGTTTCTTATGTATTGGCGCCTCTTAGTGGTAGGTTGTCGGTAGGGAATTCCCCTGTGCTATTTTTGGTACTGGTGGTACACAACATGTCCCGAGATTTTTGTTAGGTTCATGGTTTGGACTGGCCAAACAAGTTGGACCAGGGTCAAACTAGGTGGGTCCAGGGTCGGAAGGCGGAGATATAGGTCCACTATATAAGGGAAAGCGTGGGAGTTTTGTTAGTTCTGGCAGAAGTTTGGATTGGGAACTGGCCAGAGCACACGGATCCTGTCTGACGCACGATCCGGTAATAATTAATATTCGGCCTGGGTCGCTAAATTCATGTTTCGGTTTCTTTCAGCGGCCTCTGTTGACTCCCGGGTCAAGTTTAGACTGGGAACTGACCAAGAGTCAACAGATAGGCCTACCGGCTTTACTATATTCTAAATTATCCGTCATCTATAATAGGTGAGTCGTCTATTTTGTCTTAGTATATCTATTGTGTGTATTGCTTGTTGTGTATAATGTCGGGGGTCATCTTGAAGGGTGTTTTGTGTAAATAAATTTGTTCTGTACATAATTACAGCGTTGTTTCCTTTTGTTACGGAGTCATATATTTCATAAGCATATTCTACTGAACCCAGGAGTGGTTACCTGAAAATCCACTATACGAAAACTACTACAGTTGTATCGAAAGGAGAATATCAATGTGTGTTCTTACAATCGAAATTAGCACCCGGGGCTCACTTGAGATATTTATAGAACGCTCTGAAGTCACCAATCAGCTTCTCCGGTTTTTGCAAACGCGGGTACCCAAATCGGATCAAGGCTTGAATTTAGCAGTATCTTGCGCTTCAAATGAATATTTTTTGTCAGCATATTAACATTTTATGATGACTTTTAGATTTTATATGACAAAAAGTATTTCTATCGTTGATAGTGTGAATTTATTCTTATAGTCCAAAACTTACTGCAGGCTATCTATTCTAAGATTACATCATTGTTATAACTGATTTAAAAGTATTTTTGCAAAAACTGATCCGATTTGGGTACTGCCTCCTTATATATGCGTCGTTGTGCCCAACACGATACTATAACATCACTGAACCCAAAAGTTGGCAAAACGGGACACTTTTAAGAGAAATACTAGATATAATGTACATGAACTTTATACTGTCATATCAATTCCAACAAGTGTTTGTTCATTTTTCATAAATATATACCAACCATGTTCTATTTATACAATATATACCAAAATGAAAAGTCACAGATCCTAAACGACAGATAATCTATTTATGTATGACTGACCTCTGTCCAGTATATCCAGCTGGCCTTATTGGTAGTTGCCCGGACGATGACATTGTTTGTTTTTGAAGAGAGTATTCTCGTCCACTTCACTACGGAGTAGTTAGGTTATAACATTTTCCTAAACTCATGAAACCGGAGAAAGGGTATTCCGAATGCGAGAATGGTGTGTGGAAATTTTCACAGAAAAACTGGAATGTTATATACGGGAGCTGTGCACGGTAAAGCATTAAATCGGAAGCCTCAGTTTCGTATTTCTTAACCGGAAATGAAGTATGTGAAAGTGAAAGTAGGAGTTTAATGCCACGGTTATAGTGGTATTAACATTATTTTAAAAGGTTAAGCATTATAAAGTAGATGGTGGGTAAGTGGTGGAGAAAGGGATGTTCCTATGCATTTCAAAACTGAAAGAAAACGATCCTACTGCATGTATAACTTACAATTTAGTCATTAAAATGTTTTATCTTGATTTTCTTCACGGATTTAATGTTTTAAAAGTAATTTGATAAAATTGTATTATTACCCGTACAAATTCACAGACAGGTTATGGACATTTATTAATTGTTTCAGACTGGTTATAAACTTATATTAACTATAACATACATATTAGGAACATTTATTAATTGTTTCAGGCTGCTTATCACAGACATAGGAACATATTTTTTTTATTTACTGTTTCAGACTGGTCATACACCTGTATTTATTATCACAGACAGGCTATGGATCTTGAATTATATTGCTTCAGATAAAATTGTTTTAACTATCACAGACATTGAGGGAACATACTTATGTATTAGTAATTCTATGTTCTATCAATACATTGCAATAATAGTGTCATGTAAGGAACATATATTCATTGTTTCAAACTGGTTATAAACTTGTATTTACTTGTTCTATCAAAGACAAGAAGTAATATTTCATTATTTAATGCATATATACAGATAAGTGATATTTCATCATCAGGTGCATGTTCTTTAAAGTCTTCGAGATATTGATCACTTGATATATTTTGTAGAGATACAATTGCATTTTGTGACCTAAAAGGCTTTTCACACAAGCCAGATACATGGTAACAGCATGCACTTTATTACCATTCAAATATAAGATATCATGGTAAAACAGATATTTATATAATGAGAAAATAAATAAATAAATAAATAAAGCTATTTTCCATTTAACCCCCTCCCCCCAAAAACAACAATAGCAATATATATAGGAAGTACCTCTCTGTATTAAGTAATTGCATGTGTAATATGTCCCTCAGTCTGTGATAGTAAATACATGTGTAATACATGTCTGTGATAATATATACATGTGTAATACCTGTCTGTAGTAGTAATTACATGTGTAATACCTGACTGTAGTAGTATATATATTGCTGAGCATCATAATTTGGATACACTTTTATTATAATTTTGCCAGGAGACTGGTCCTAACTCAGTGCCTCTTGTTTATTATAAAATATAACAAAGATGTCTTTACAAAGAAATATTGAGAAGGTTATATAATGATAATATATAAGAAGTGGTTTACAGAGTATATAAAGAGTGATATGCATAGTATACAGAGAGTGGTATACAAAGTATATGAATAATGGTATATAGAGAGTGGTAAACAGGGTACAAAAAGTGGTTTACAGAGTACACAGGGTGGTATACAGAGAATATAAAGAGTGATATGCATGGTATACATAGAGTGGTATACAGGGTATATTATAATTTGTCTATATAATACACAAAGAGTGGTATACAGTATATGTAAGAAGTGGTAAACACAGCATATAGAATGGTTTACACAGTATATAATGAGTGGTATACAGGGTATATTATAATTTGTCTATATAATACACAAAGAGTGGTATACAGTATATGTAAGAAGCGGTAAACACAGCATATAGAATGGTTTACACAGTATATAATGAGTGGTATACAGGGTATATTATAATTTGTCTATATAATACACAGAGTGGTATACAGTATATGTAAGAAGTGGTAAAAACAGCATATAGAATGGTTTACACAGTTTATAAGGAGTGGTATACAGGGTATATTATAACTTGTCTATATAATACACAGAGTGGTATACAGTATATGTAAGAAGTGTTAAACACAGCATATAGAATGGTTTACACAGTATATAAGGAGTGGTATACAGCTTATAAAGAGTGATATACAGGGTATATAAGGATTGGTCTTGTAACATAGTATATAAAGAATGGTATACAAAATTGGCCTACATAGTATATTAAAAGTGGTATACAGAGCATAGAGAGTGGTATAAATATTATACAGAGAGTTGTATTCAGAGTATAAATGAGTGATAAACAGAGTATACGGAGAGTGTTATATGGCTGTACATAGTAAAGAAAAAGTGGTGTACAAAGGAGTATACAGAGTATATAAAAAGTTTACCACTTATATATATAACCTACACATTTTAGTCCCCCACTGGTTCCCGGGGGATTATAGGTTTGCACTCTGTACTTCTGTACTTTTTCACCTGGAGTAACCAGATTTGGTGTACAAGGACATCTAATTCTTGGGATTGCGGAGTGCAAGAAGTATGTATCAGGATACTTTCCTAACAGTAGATACATTCTGACATGATAGGTACTGTTTGTTAAATATAGAAATCATTACCTTTGGGAGACTATGGATTGCCTTACACATAATACTTTGCCTTGTTTTATACTATATACACATAATACTATCTTTACATATTTTGTATACTGTTTCTATAATTAGTTATGTACATTTGTATATGAAATATATCCTGAGACAGTTTTCAAATATACATGTATATCATCTACTTGCTGAAATTTGTTAACTGATTTACTTCATAAAGCTTCATTATTTATTGTTTAAGGGTATCCTCTATAATACAGCCTCATTACATAAGGTACCATATTTATCATCTCTATTATATATAATGTCAACTCATTTTCCAGAAGATACAATGTACATGATACAAAATATATACATGGTATGTTTTCCGGTAAAGAGAAAAATAAGACTTTTCATCTTCAAAAACCTACTCTTCCTGAATGACTGCCAAAATTGTAGCATATCTCAGGTCTAAAAAAACCCATGGAAATTGGTGAGATCCCCCAGCTGATATTTCTTGTATGGTTAGAGGTAATCAACAACTTTTAATGAAAAATAAAAATCCAGGTGAGTTATTAATAATTAATGCCCCTGTGCTTCTTGTTCTAGAGAGGCCACAATAAGGGAACATAATTGGGAAACTCCATCACAAGCAAATATTATATTTCCTGTGCATGCAATCAATATGAACCAATAAGACAACTATTATAAAGATGAGGTAGTGACCTTACCTACAGAGAATATGGACCTGACATATACCTCATGTATATGTGCATGCATACTTGATGTATAGGTGTAATATTAATCTGATGTATAGAAGGTGTATACCTAATGCATAAAAGGTGTAACCTGATATATCACATGGGAGGTGTGTATACCTGATCTATAGGAGGTGTGTAAACCTGATGTATAGGATCTATAGGATATGTATACCTGATCTATAGGAGGTGTATACCTGATGTATGGGAGGTGTATACCTGTTCAATAGGAGGTGTATACCTGATGTATGGGAGGTGTATACCTGATTTATAGGAGGTGTATACCTGATCTATAGGAGGTGTATACCTGATGTATAGTTGATATCTGACTTATTGGAGCTAATGATGGATGTATAGGTAATATATGGGAGGTTTATATTTGTAGTAGAGAAGGTGTATATATTTGATTTATAGAAGGTGTATACCTGATGTATATGAGGTGTATATCTTAAGTTTTTTTTATCAATTGTTGCACATTTACTCCTGGGGAGGGGATACATTTTGCTATAGTTTATGGAAATAAGACTTTTCAAGGTATATTTTCAGTTATTTTCAGTAGTAACAAATTCATACTTGGTTGGAGTTGTCATCATGTGCACGCTAAGGGCCTGAGGGGCGGAGCCAAAATAGCTAAAACAATAATTATCTACTTCAGATCCAGATATGAAAACATTCTCATGGATGGAAATATCCTGATGTGCTTAATCAAAATGTGAATTTCACAACCCCTGGGGTACCAATTTCTCCCTGGGGAGGGGCGAAATTCCCTGCTATACATATGTAATTTTTGTTTTTGTCATATCACAACAACAAATAACAATTGCATTACAACTCAGGTGACCTGTTAGGCCCATGGGGCTCTTTGGTTGAAAGTGCTGTATTAGTTGGATGTGTTGATATTGGCTTCCAATAATAATTCCCCTACTTACCTATAATTAGATGTGGGATACAGGGACATGTCACATGCTTATTTTAAAAGTGTGCTGCAAAATATGTATATACTGTGATGCCCATTTATCATATATAATATCTTCCATTGTATATATAAATGTGTACCTGGTAGTATTTGACATGCCCCTATAGGTTGAAGGTTATGGAATTATGCACTATAGAAATATTCAAATTTCAAATATTTCATATCAATATGGATCGAGTGTCAGTGCTATATATTTTTAAAAAACCCAGTTGATTCTCAAACAGAATTTGTTCTGTATCAAAAAAAAGAAAGAAGGTTTTTGGGCTGAAATATCTATCCTAGATTTTATTATTAAAAAGAGTTATACAATACTTATCCACAAGTTTTTGAGTCTTGAGACCAATTGTTAAGCACATGTATCAGTAAACTGAATATTTCTCTTGGAATCTGCTTCAAACTTTGGGGGGAAAGTCCAGTTACCATATGCTCCCCTGTGTGATAAAATTCATTTGGAAAAGGAACTGAAATACAAGACATTCTTCATTTTTGAAAATACATCTAAGTTCCCTAGTTTATGATCTAGTGCCAGTCACTTTTCATAAATAAAGATGAGATTAATTTAATCTTTAATTTAATAAAATAACCTTGCTATAGTGATATGTACACATACATAGTATATTCCTGATAAAAAATTGCATGTACCGTAAAAAAACATGTAATTTGCGCAGGTACTTTTTGAGGCTGAAAATCGGGAAAAAAGCTTCTACTCGAATATTTTGCGCACCCAAAAAATCTGGAAAAAAACCGAAGTTCATGCTCCGAAAATCGATCTCTGAATATTTTTTTTAAAATATATTTCTATGATTTTTTTTTCATTGATGTAAAATGATATTTAAAACCAAGAAGAAACTACGTAAAATGTGTATTTTGTTGCTTG